TCCGATCCTTCCCTCATCGATCGCCGCGCCTCCATCGTATTCTGGCTGAGGCGCTCTCCGTTGGTGACGTTGTTGATCGCCTCCAGGGTCGGCACGAATGCCCCCCCTTCACGCGTTCCCACGGGCGCGGATCGAGGAACAGAATCGAGGCAGCGCAGTCGGGGCGCTGACCTAAGGAACCCTAAATAAGGAACGAGGCCCCTGTTTCCCATACGTTCAACCTCGGTTCCCCAACGAAAAGGATTCATTCTTCAGCGCCCCGACTGTATGAAGAGAATGACCTATAGGCAGGGGGCACGGTTGACTACCTAGCATCTCTTGTGGACCCTTCTCCCGATCGAATCGCTCGACCTTCGTCCGCCTCATGCAGATCGCCCCTCTCGATCCTCGGGGCAGGATGCACCCCTCCCCTCCTTCAGCGCTGCGTAGCAAGGGCGGTCGCCACTCTTCTGGCACGGGTAGCTTCCGAAGTCGGGGATCGTCGGACGCCCTCGCGGCGGTGCGAGGGCGAGGCTCAAGGTTGAGATTCGGTAGGCCTCAGATGGCAGGCGTTTGCGATGAGGAGGGCATGGTTTCAATGGTGATGCAGCTGCGGCCGATGCGGCGGCAAACAGGGATGATACAGTCCCCAGAAGAGGCGAACGGAGGAAGCGGACCAGGAGGACGATGGACGAGCAGGATACCGATGCAGAAAGGGATCTAAGTCGCGTCGTCGTCTGAACCGACGTCGCCCGAAACGTCGCTACCGTTATCATTGATGAGGAATTGCGTCGCCATGGCAACCACCGTCAGCATCATGATCATTAGTATCGCTGTCGGTGATCACCATCGGCATCATCATCGCCATCGCCATCACCGTTCTGCATCACCCTCATCATCGTAGTATTCGTCGCCGTGGTTAGCATCAGCGTCGACGATATCGGCGTCAGTCGTCGAATGCGCGGCGCTAGCTCCTGCTAAGCACAACTGGCCGATCGTGTCCGTCTGGGCATGCAGCGCCTCGGGATGTGGTGCGGAGGTGAGGAACGCGAGAGGCAGATGCATGGGTCCTCATCCTCATCCCTCATCCTCATCCCTCGTCCTCATCCTCATTCTCATCCTCGTCCCTCCTCGTCCCCATCCTCGTCCTCATCCTCAACCTCGCCCCCCTCCCCATCCTCGTCCTCATCCTCGTCCTCATCCTCGTCCTCATCCCCATCTGCATCCCCCTCCTCATCCTCGAGCCCGATCGCCAATCCTGGTCCTCATCCTCATCCTCATCCTCATCCTTATCCTATCCGTCCTCGTCCTCATCGTTCTCCGATCCATGTGCCTCGGGCTGAACTAATCCTAGAAACTCTGCCTATCGGAATTCTCATGTCCTCCTCGAGCTCCTACTCCTGGCCCCCTCCCTACTGCGCCTGCGCGGCGAGCGCTGGTTCGCCCACCCACGTTTTCGGGTTCCCGAGCTTGCGCGCCATGGCCTCGAGGGAAGGCCGATCCTTTCCTTCCCGCTCCTTCTCCTCCTGAGGAGCTCCTGCCCTCTCGACCTCTGGATCTCTCCAGCTCTCTCGACCTCATGCCTCTCGACCCTATCCCGCTCAGGGCGTCGGCGGACCCTGCCAACATCGATCGTCGCCATCGTATTCTGTTGGCAGGATCCGGGGCCCAAGCTGGAATCCAACGCGGTGCGGGCGCGTGACCCTGCTTGCTTGCCCGAGCCCCGCCTTGTCTGACCCTTGCACATGCGTTGCGCGCGCGACCGCGGGCCGGGCGCCCTCGGGCCAAGCCGCGCGGAGCGCGCGCGCGAGCTCGCGCGCGAGCATGGGTCGAAGGGCTCAAGAAACGAGGAGGCGGACGAGGAGAAGGGGGAGGGGGGGGGGAAGGGGGGGAGAAGGGGGAGGAGCAGGAGGAGGAGGACGAGGAGGAGGAGAAACAAAGCACGATGAGGAGGAGGAGGACGAGGAGGAGGGGAAGGAGGAGAGGACTTGCGCATATCCTGACAACGCAAGGAAGGGAAAGAAACGCCGAGCCGAGCCGAGGTAATTGGCCGGCGGTCTCCTGATCGCAGAGTGAGTTATAAGAGTTCCTTTGCCAACTCGAAAACCCAAGTGTCAAAACCCACTCATCTTAATTTTTTTTCATTATGCGATCGAATGCGGCGTCAATGTATGATTATAAATTTAAAAAGATCACTGCAGCATGCATAGATTTCTATCAAGCGGGGGAAGTTAACTCGAAAACCACATGTTGAAAACCCCATGCAAAACTTCATTCTCTGAACAGAAGAGGCGATCATCTGAATGTGGAATATACAAAGCGCATATACACCACGCAGCGCGCGCGGGCGGGTCACCCGCGCGCGCGCCGCCCTCCACGCGCATGTACATTTTGATACAACGGGGGCGATGTTAACTCGAAAACCCAATCGTGAAAACCCAAATGTAAAAATTCATTCTCCGATCGGAAGAGGCGATCATCTGAATGTGGAAGATGCAAAACACATGCACACCATGCAGCGCGCGCGCGGGCGGGTCACCCTCGCGCGCGCCGCCCTCCACGCGCATGTAAATGTTGATACAACGGGAGCGATGTTAACTCGAAAACCCAATGGTGAAAACCCAATGTAAAAAATCATTCTCTGATCTCGAGAGGGGATCATCTGAATGTGGAATATACAAATTCGCATATACACCATGCAGCGCGCGCCGCCCTCCGCGCCCTCGTATACATATTGATATACAACAGGAGCGATGTTAACTCGAAAACCCAATGGTGAAAATCCATTGCAAAAATTCATTCTCTGATCGGAAGAGGCGATCATCTGAATGACGAATATACAAAACGCAGATACACCATGCAGCGCGCGCGCGGGCGGGTCACCCGCGCGCCCGCCGCCCTCCACGCGTATGTACATTTTGATATACAACAGGGGCGATGTTAACTCGAAAACCCAATGGTGAAAACCCAATGTAAAACTTCATTATCTGATCTCGAGAGGGGATCATCTGAATGTGGAATATACAAATTCGCATATACACCATGCAGCGCGCGCGCCGCCCTCCGCGCCATCGCATACATATGGATATACAACGGGAGCGATGTTAACTCGAAAACCAATGGTGAAAACCCAATGTAAAAAATCATTCGCTGATCGGAACGGGCGATTATCTAAACGTGTAACGCGCATGCGCCAACATAATGCGGCGGCATCGAATTATCGTCCATGCGGTCGTTCAACGCGCGATCCAACAAACAAACAAGACATACGCAACAAAAACAAGACATGAGACAGAAAAACAAGACATGCCCAAACAAACAAGACAACGTCAACAACATCACAGCATGGCGCGATTTTCAAAACAAAACAGCAGTCTTGAAACAAATGCAGCTGGAGGATGTCAGGGTCTGCCGCGGTCCTCTGCAAGCTCCCCAGCTTCGGCACCACCAGCTCGAACTCGGGGTTGCCGCGCACCACGCAAGCGCCCAGCGCCCCCACCAGCACCGCGGTGCAGCCGCTGGCCAGCCTCGGCGCCTCCACCGGCCCCATCAGCAGCCAGTAAGCCATGGGCGTCGCTCCCGCCGCCGCTGGCTGCGCCCGCGCCAGCACCTCCTTCTCCAGAGCGGCTGCCCCGGGCCCCCGCGGCTCGCCCTCGAAGAACTGCGCGTTCAGCGTCACTACCAGCGCGCCGTCGACGCCCGCCGGGGTCGCCAGACTTGCCCCCCTTCGAGGGGCCCAACGCGCGGAACAGCTGAACTGGTCGCGGTAGTCCTTCTGCGTGAGGGGGGCCACGGCCTCGTCCTCCAGCACGGTCGGCGGGCGGGGCCCGAGCGGCGCACCCCGCTCCAGTCGCGTCAGCTCCTGCCCCAGCAGCACCTGCCGCCGCCCGGCGGCGGCGACCCCGCGGCTGGCGCCAGCGCGAGGGCCTGCTGCCGCACTCGCGCTTCCCGGCGAGCGGGCGGTTCCCCGCCGCGGCCGCCGCCTCGCCCGCTCCTGCGCCTGGCTCGCTCGCTTCTTCATCAAGGCACGGTGCCCTGAGAAGCTCGAGCCCAGGCGGCGGCCCGAGGACAAAGGGGTCACCTCCACCGCCTCGGATGAAGCCTCCAGTGACGGGGTCGACGAGCTCGAAGCCGCAAGCGTCGGCGCAGCCGCCAGGCCTCCGCGCCGCCGCGCGCTCGGGCCTCTGCTGAGCTTCCCGACGGGCAGCGGCGCTGCGCTCCTCCGAGCTCCGCGAGGCCCCGTCCGCTGCGCTCCTCTCGGACGAGATCCAGCGCACGTGCGCCACGGCGAAGCTGGCCAGGCACAGCCTAAGGAAGCGCGCCGTCGCCCGACTCGAGCTCCGACCCTTGGCGATCCCGAGCACAACGGCCATGGCATCACTGAGCGCAAGATGTCGACTACCCACTGCTTTGCTGTCCCGTAAAATGTGACGCAGAGCCCAAACTCCAGCCCGAGCCTCCAAGATCACCTGGTCGCCCGAGACGCTCCAGGGTCTACTCATCACTCGCCTCCAGCAGCCTCCCCAGACGGACCTGGGCACCGCAGGCGCCCCACGAAGATCTCCTTGCTCTTGTCCCCAGACTCCCTCATCATCTCGTGGGCGTGCCCGTTGCTCCCCGCACTTCGTAAACCTCAACCTATCAGAATACCGTCCCGCATATCTGATCGCACCCATGTCGCATCGTCGCTCCAGAACCCCGTAGCCCCACTCGCTCGCGTCGAACACCGTCACCTTGGGGCCCCACGTCATATTGAGCTCTCTAGAGGCCAGGGGCACCAGATGACTCACCCACTCCAGCTCTTCTCTAACACAATCGCAAAGAGGTGTCGCTCGGACAGGATGGCGATCGATAAGGGCATACACGGTGTGCAAGACCGACAGGATGGGACGTCGCAATAGGACGCGAAAGGTGATATGACCAACGATGCTTCTCAACTGGGAACCACTCGCTCGCCCCCTGCGCAGTATCTCCCGCAGGCCGAGGATGGGCCGCCAGGCCGTGCGCGGGGCTATCCCCACCGCAGGCCGCAAATCGCCAAAGTGCCAGCCGAGCGTATCTCCGCCTCGGCTACAGGTCACTGGGCGCACGCCAAGCCCATCGGCTTCGAGAGCGGCGCCAACCTCAGTGGCCAGCCGGCGGCCCTCTTCCCCGTCCATCCCGAGCGCCACGAAGTTGTCCACGTACTCGGTGTGGGCGCAGCCCTGAGCCACTGAAGGGGCAGGCCGCCCGCCCACCAGTCTGTTGTCCGCATCCACGCCGGCGACCCTCTCGGCCACCGCCTCATGGAGCGCCTGGCAAACGTACAGCGCCCCCTTGAAGCCCATGGGCAACACGCTCAGCACCTGCACGACACGTACTCCAGGATGCACGCGTTCGCCTTCAAGCCATCGAACTCCGACAGCTCCAGCGCACACGGGCTCCATCCCGAAGTACTCGCGCAGCTCCTCGGGCAGGCCAATCGAGTAAAAGGCCACCTCGATGTCCACGCCCGACACGTACACAGGCCCAGTCCCCTCGACCTCAAGCCGTCCAAAACTGTCGCCTGTTGCCAGGCTCACTCACGGGGCGTCTTTAGACCAGCAATTGCTCACTCTGCAATCCAGGATAAGACGTTGTTCCCCTCCCTTCTTCCATGCACAATAGGTACCGGCGCTTTTCTTGCAGCTGCGCCTGTGCTCGATGATGCCCCGCTCGTGCAACCGTCTAAGGAGCTTCGCATGCTCCTTTGGCTTCTGGCGCACGATCGGGTCGTTGTAGGCACGGCGCAACTGCTGACGCCCCTCCTCAGCCGCCCCCTCCTCGGGCGCCCGAACCAAGCTCTTGAGAGCCTCGAGAACCTTCGCGCCCGCCGAGCCCCCGACGCCCTCGATGCGCGCGGGCCGACGCTGGAGACTGGGCAAGGCTACCCGCCCCACCTCGAGGGGGGCAACAGCTCCAGCAACGCCGCCGTAGCTCTGCTTCGACAGGAGCTCCTCCAGGGCTCCCTGTCCGTGCAAGTCAGCCGGCGGCGAACCGAGTTCGCGGTGGGCTTGCTCGATGCGCGCCAAGCAGGACTGCTGCGCCGCACTCGGGCGCAAATTAGTGCTGCCGAGGTCCTCCCTGGCCCCGTGCAGCTCGTTGAGGGTGGCGATCGCCTCGGACACTCCATCCTCGCGATGACGCGCCCGAAGTCCACGCCGGCGGACTGCGTGGCTTAAACTCTCCCCCCCCCCCCCCCCTCCAGGAAGACGAACCAGCGCTGCCAGCCCCGTCTGTCCCTCGGGCAAGGGCAACGGAAGAAGCTCGCGAGCAACTCGGCGCTCACGAGGATTGCCGCAAAACTGTGGAGGATGGCCTCCGCCCCCGCCGCGTTCAGCTGCGGCCGACGGCCGGGGCCAGTGGGCAGGAACTCCTGCCCGATCACTCCCCATCCTTCTTCTTGATGATGGTGAAGGACAGGCGCTCCTCTCGCGCCTCCCTCACCTGCTTCATGATGTTTACCTCCCTCTCGTGCTCGTACGCGTACTCTAACAGCTGGGCCTGGCTGTCCAGGACTTCGAAGCTATCAGGGTTGCAGAGCTCCAGGTGGTCGCGAGTCCCGGCCTCCTCCACCGACGCGAAGCACTTGCGATGCGTGTCCACACCCCAGTCGCCCGTCTCCACGCCGAGCAGCACCGTGAAGTACCTGTGGTAGCCCGTCCGTCCTCCTCCTCGTCGGTTCAAGACCATCACCCACCACTCGGTCGTCCTCGGGCCGACCATCGGCCAGTCGGCGAAGTCAGCCTCGCTCGACATGCTCACCACGTCGCGCCACGGGGTACTCCTCCGTCCACCTCCGCTTAGGTCCACGTTCATGGCCAGCGCGTCTCCAGCCGCATCTGACCCGATCCAGCTCATCACGTCCTGGCGCCTCAGCCGTCGCAGGCACGAGCTCCTGCCAGTGCCCGTCGGCGTCAGCGCGACGTCGCCCAAGGTCACCGCGGCCGCGGGGAGCAGCACCTCATCTCCTCTATGGTACTGCCCACGCGCCGCCACCGCCACCCTCTCCAGGGTCGGGCCTCCGCGGCCCTCTCCTTCGCCGCTGCCGCCTGTAGCCCCGCCTCCAGCTGGTTCTCCAGCTCGCCGAGGTCCCCCAACCGCCAATGCCTCGCCCCCTCCCCCAGCCGCCAAGCCCCCCACCGCCGCCGCGCCTTCGGGGGGCCCTGCCCCCCTTGCCGCCGCCGCCGGCTGGATAGGGAGCCGCTCGAGGTGGCCCCCAGGCCAGGTCGCCGCCGGGTCGCGGCCTGCCGCCGCCTTCCGCCCACGACACACCGCCCGCTCAAGCACCTCCGACTGGTCGAGGGCGTCGTCCAACTCTTGCTGGGTCGGCCCCGCCCGAAGCCTGTACACGTTCTCTCGCGCCAGTCCCGGGGGCGGGCGCCGTCGCGCCTCTGCATTCCGCACCGCCGAGAGGCTCACCTCCTCCAGGTCATCCTTCTCCGCGTAGCAGTCCCCGTTGGACGTGGGGATGTAGTTAGTCTCCGCCCGCCCCCGCGAGGCTCTCCGCCTCCGGCGTCTCCGCCAGAGCTGCGGCTGCCCTCGCGACGGCAGCTGCGACCAAGGCTCCCCGCCAGGCCCCCGATCGCCCCCGGGCCGCGCGCCCCAGCCTGGACACCCACGCCGAGCGGCACCTCGGCCCAGCTCCACGGCAGCGCCAATCGCGGCCCCACCTCAGCAGCGTCTTGCCGAACAGCGGGCGCGCCTGGGCACGTCGGACCTGCAGGGACAGGAAGGTACCGACCGCTATGGCAGTCGCGGCAGCGGTGCTCGGCACTCCGCAGGCGCTCGCCAGGCAGCTCTCCGTCAGAACCGCAGCCACAGCCGCAAGCCCGCCCCACATGCACAGCGCCTGAGAGGGACTCTGGAGCGCGGCCCCCTCCACAAATTAACTTGAGCCAAGACGGCTGCGGGGCAACATGACGCGGCCAATTCTGCGAGTCTGAGGCCCCGAGATCAATGTACAAGTACCGTCAGAAATATGCACACACATGTATATATATATATAGAGAGAGAGAGAGAGAGAGAGAGAGAGAGAGAGCTCTGCCACCCCCCCCGTGCGCCAGTGACTGACAGACGACAATGCCCTTTCTGCGTGGTCCACCCGGCGGAACGGCGAGCTCGACAGGCGAAGCTGGGAGCCGCGCGCGCAGCAGAAGCACGAGCGTTAAAGCGAGGCCGAAGGGTTCAAAAAGGCCCAGAAGAAAGAAACATAAGGAGAGAGCGAGGGGGGGGGGGGGGGAAGCTTGAGCCAGAACCGAAGTACGGCACACTCGTCAGCTGGCTGTTGCTTCATCTTCGAAAAGAGGACAGCTCTGCCATCCCCCCGTGCGCCAGTGACTGACAGACGACAATGCCCTTTCTGCGTGGTCCACCCGGCGGAACGGCGAGCTCGACAGGCGAAGCTGGGAGCCGCGCGCGCAGCAGAAGCACGAGCGTTAAAGCGAGGCCGAAGGGTTCAAAAAGGCCAGAGCCCGAAAGGTTGCACTGGCCGCAAGGCCGAACTAAAAGACACGAAAAATCTTCCAAACCCTAGCCTGCAGGGGAACATCGGCAGGCTTCACCCCCAATGCCCGAGTATGCTTGTTAATGCTATAGCTATTCTCAGCAACTTGGTAGAGGGTACGCGCCAGCGCTCTGCATAACTTATTGGGATAAGACGCGGCCACAGCAGTCCTTGTTCGCCCACTTACCTGACCGACGCCTTCAAGGATCAGGTGCGGTTTGTTGGAGCAGGAGCACATGCCAGCACGGCCAGCACAGCGAACGTCAAGAGCTGGGTGATAGCCAGCGCCCCACATGGCCAATCTAGTCCGATTCCTCCAGGGAGCGCTGAATTGACAAAGACCAACAACGTGCACTGACAACCAGGAAGGCGAAGGAAGGTTGAAGAAGGGGAGCGTGCCAGATGATGGAGGAGGAGGGGTTCTCGAGGTAGACGGGGGCCCCGAGGCGCACGCACGTTTCAATGGCCTCAATGCTGGTGTTAAACGTGTTGCTGCAAACTTCAAGCCCGTTGAGCTCAGAGGGGTTGAGGCCGTCAAGCCCCATGGGGGCCGCGATGGATCTGAGCGGTTTCCGGAGGGCCCTGGACCGCGTAGTACACAGAGTGCCTAGCCAGACGCCGACAATGACCCCGCCCTGCAACCACCCACGGATAACGCTCCAAAGCCCGGATGAAGGTGGTCCTCCAGGCCCCCGTTGCGAACGTCTAGGGACGCGACAGCGTAGCCGGCAGCCCTTAGGGCCGCGCTCAGGTGCCCGTCTCCAGCAAACAGCACCAAGAAGGCAAAACGTCGCAGACGGGAGGCGCGGCGCAGCTCGGCAGCTAGCAGACCCTTGAGGCGCTCGCCGACTCGCCTGCGCCTCGAGAGCCCTGGGCCCTCGACTGGGGCGCCACGGGCTGGCTCAGGGCCAAGGCGGTCACGATGGACTGCGGGGCCCCAGGAGGCAGTGCAGAGCCGGTGCGCAGCAGCAGCGTCAGGTTGGCCAGCACCAGGTCCCCGTAGGTGAACACGTCTGGCGCCACTGGGCCCATGGTCTCGAGGAGCCTCGCGTCCTTGGCGTACCGCTTCGCGGAGACAAAGGTCGCCCAGCGCCCCCGGAGGCGGACCTGCTCGGCTGACCGCCTCCCGAGGGCCAGGTCCTCCGACGCCCCGCCGCGCCGCGGCTGGCAAGGGCGCGGCTCGAGCGCGTGGAGGCCGAGGAGGTTCGCCGCGTCGACGAAGGCCTTCCGGCACCGCGAGAAGTCCAGGCCCATCGCGAGCTCGTCGGGCTTCAGGCGCGAACGGATGCACTGCAGGGCGGGGTTCAGCCACGCGCCCAGGTCCACGACGACCGCGTCGTCGTGCACGCCTGTCCCCCCCGCCTGCAGCAGGGCCGAGTCGCGAAGCAGGATAGGCCAGAAGTGGCGCGCTGGCCCGGCAGCTGCAGCTGGAGCGACAAGGTGCCGACCTCGTATTTGCATGATCTCCTGCGGCCTCAAGTAGCACACGTGGCCCAGAGCCGCGAGCACCGCGGCTCGGAGCAGGGGCCAGTGGACGAGCACGCCCACGATGGCACCCATCGCCGCCCTGGGGGGCGGCAGCCGCGTCAGCGAAGGCGTTCGCCGCCTCCACCCTCGCGACGCGCGGTGGGGCCGCGGCAGCAGCGTGGGCCCCGACCGGCCCAGGGCGGCAATAAGTGCCCGAGCGCCGCGAGGGTGCTGCTGCCGACGTCCGGCCCCTGGCCATCCAGGTAGAGCCCGTTGCAGAAATCTACCAGGTGGTCGTCGAGGGTAACCCAGTCGTGCCAGTCGAGCCCCAGCAGGCGGCAGTGGTCGTAAAACTGCTTGAGGAAGTTCCGATAGATAATCTCCGTGGCAGGCCGGATCGCCAGACGCTCCAGCGCGCTCAGGCCCGCCCCCGGCGGCTGGCTGCGAACCGCGGCGGCGGCAGCAGACGCCCGGAAGGTCTTCAGGAAGGGCTGCCTTCGGCCCGACTGCCCAGCCGCCAGCAGCCGGCCGCGCTCCGGGCGCGCGCGGGGCATGCACACCCGGCGGGCGCGGCGGCGGCAGCCCCGGTGGCGCGCAGCCAGCCTCCGAGGTTGGCCCCAGGCGGCCTATGCCTCAGGCATCGCTCTGCCTGGCGGGATCTGATGCGCCTGGTGCCAGTAAACCAGCCAAAACGCCCTCGGGAAGGCGCGTCACTCACGTTTCTCTCGGTAGGGGCCCAACGAACCACGATGCGACAGGCGGCGACCAGGGCCAGGCAGGCGATCTTGGTGAGGGAGGGCTTCAGGAACTTAGAGCGGGCGCGGCCTTTGGTGGACCCAAGGGCCAAGGGCAAGTTATCAACTATGAACAGCAGGCGGCGACCCAGGGCCCGTTGGTTACGAAGAGCGTGCCGGACAGCCAGGACCAGGGCCTCACCCCCCAACGCCAGGATATTGATGCCCGGGGAGACTTGGGACGAGGCCGCAATGTGGGCCCTTGTCAGGATCCATAAACTCGCCTGGAACTTCGTCGAAAGCGCGGGCAGCCTGCTCAAGGTAGGTGGGGTCGCACGGGAAAGGCTCCAACGGGTCGAGGCCGGGGGGCGCCGAGGACGCAGCAAGAGCGGCTTCGCGAGGGCGAGTGTGTTCCTCGACTTTATACCGCCACCGCTCCGAGCATCTGCCGATCGTGCCCGCTGCCTCGCAGGAGGTCCGCCGGACAGAAACGCCGAAGCCAAAAGGGAGCGCGTTGGAGGCGTGAGCTTGGTCGTGCCACGAGGCGCCCGGCCGCGCGGTGAACAGTGGGAGAACACATCGGGGCCTCCACAGCTCCCGCCTGACGCCAGGCCAGAGAACAATAACTTCCCCACCCGCCCGCTCGATAAACGCGCACATGTCATCCAGGAAACTCAAGGCGTCTCGGCGCAATAAGGCGGCCTAGGTTATGTGTCCCACCACGACCTGGAGAAGAGGTCCGCAAGCGCGGCCGCGCCGGAGGATCTCTTCTATGGCGAGGCGCAGCCTCCAGAGGCCACGGCGCTTGATAGCTAGCCTAGCCCCCGAATTCAGATCTAACCCCAGGAAGGCGGAGTCTTTCGAAGCGGGTTCCAGCTCGTGAACCACGAGGCCCTTGCGTTCCACGGAAGAGCGAATTCGGGAAACCGTCGAGTCCGCGAGAACGGGGTCCTGGCCGAAAACGACGAAGTTGTCTACATAACCAGCCACGCGAACCCCAAAGACATCGTCATGCGGGGAGGCGGGGCTGCCGTCCACGACGAAGTGCGACCCATCGATGCCAGAGTCGCCGAGCGAGTTCAGCAGCACGGACTGGGCGATGTGCATTGCCCAGCTCCAACCCATCGGCAGGATCGTGAGCACATGCTCCAGCATGGCCCCGGGACCCACCTTCAGGCCTTCAACTTCGGCCAGCCCGGCAACTCCGGCATCGATGGGGGGGGGAAGGGCAAGAAAGTCCTGAAGCTCTGCCGGGAGGGCCATTCTATAAAAGAAATTGTCTACGTCGCCCGACCACGCGAAGACCTCGGCCCCAGGGGGCTCCAGGGGCCCCAGGGCCGAAGCGGTGGGGTAGCGGGTGGCAGGAGGGGTCTTAAAAAAAACCATTGGCGACACGAGTGTCAAAGATGAGCCTGAGCTTTCCGGATTTTTTCGCAACGCAAAGGATGCCAACTTTACTAGGACGGCCTGCAGCGAGCTTCCAGGAGGCCACCCCCCAGTCGACTAACCTCCGGACGAAGGCAGCGCAATGAACAGGAGACGACCCCAAGGGCGGATCAACATACGGGCCGAACGGACAAGCTTCCCGAATTCAGCTATGCGCCTCGGCCGCGGGCCTCAGCAGGGTCTCGCTGGCACGACCGATCCATTTGAAATCGCCAGGGCTCAAGAGGCTGCCCAAAGCAACGGGGCGGGCCCCCTCACCTGGCCTGACAAGGTCCTGGGAGCACGGCCGCCTAGTGGGCCCAAGAGAGTCGTGCAAACCACTAGCGGCGCAGAGCTCGCTGAGGGCTCCCGCGCCGG